ATCAATAGGTTAGTTTCAGTAAAAAAACACATTACAAATCATGCAAGTTCAACATTTTCAAACCAATATACTAAAACAGAAATGCTCAGCGATGCAAAAAAGGATAGATATTACTTTTCAATATACACATCTCTGATTTTACAATCCCTCACATATTCTACTCCCAATTATTCCTGCATAAAATAGAATAGCCTCTTTCCATGTTGACATTCTCAGTAAAATCATGTGATAGGCTGTTACAATTGGCTGTTACATACTATTTCGCCGGTCTGGAAAATGTGTTTAATTAGCTCTCATTCAAGCGACAATGCACATTTCCCAGTGGGAGTGAACCCAGCTCGAATCTGCCATTACAAAATAGGGGTGTTTTCAGCAAAAAACGAATAATCCTTGAGTGCACAAAATACACTTAATTTTAGAACAAATGTTGCATTAGTTACAGCAGCAGAATACCACAGAAATATCAGACGAAACATGAAAACACTATATATTGTATTTCGGCCTGAACCCTCTCTATTGCAATTCCAAGGATTACCCCCATATGTGCAACCATTTTCCACCTTCGTATCACCCAACCCTGAAAACAAATTCTTAATACCATGCTGAAGCGTTTGGTAATGAAGCGTTTGGTAATAATATGATAATCTTTATTACAACCTTATAGAATGAATTACATATCTATTTTGGTTTATAAAATGTAATAAAGGTGTTATATATATTATTGCCTGTACTCCCTGCATTTATATAAATTTCCACTGATCCGAGGCGATAAATAATAGCGAATCCCTAAGCTTTTTCGTCATTCAAAAAATAGGTCACCTAACTAGCTCGTTCAACCATGGAGCTCCCTGGTCACACACGGTCTGTTGAGATAAACGCGACACTGGTTCAGAATACTGTAAAACCATTTATTTTCACAGGCATTTAATTTCACTATTTTGATATTTTAAGCAATTTCAATGGGTTTTAAGTTCACGAATTTAGCAGGGAAACAATGAGTTTATTTTACAAGTTTACGTGGATTAATCCCGGGGGATTAATTTAGCGAATTTCATTTATCAACGAAAAATAGCTAAATTAAAAACCCACCTACTAATGCCAGTACAACCATAGACCTTAGAAAGAGAAGGACATACAACTACAGTGTTACTTTTGTTTTTTACCTCTTTCTAAAGTCTATGGTACAACGCAAGTGAGCATGAACCGCGGGTCAGAAGGTGGCAGTGGAGAGAAACCCCCTCAACCCTATTTACATAAAAATAGAAAGGAAATGGCCTCATTTGCATACAATGGATTAATTATCGGAAGTTTACCAAAAAGTGAAACATTACCTGTCAGTTCCTTTTGACAACAGAAGCCAAGATGATTGACATGTTTCAAGTTTTAATTTGTTGACTTTCTGTGTTAGTAATATCTGGAATTTAACAAACTAACTTTTCTTGAAACTTTGGCGATGGTTGTTTCAGAGCGAGGCCAGACGGTGACGTCACTATCCAACATGGCGGACATTGAAAGCTCGGGATATCCAGCCGACGGTATTTCAGAAAAAGATGAAATTGTGGCGGCGACTAAACCAGGTAAGTGTTGACCTGGTAAAGAGTTAGCAAGGTTACTCTTCTAGAAGTGCATGGTTGTTATTTTATTGAGAATAAGTGTTTAACTTTAGTGGTGATACTGCTTTTTATTTAATGGCTCAAGTTCGAATGATAAACACGGGCGTGATCGTCTTGCAGCGACCCGAGAGAATAATCGCAGATGCTGTTGAACTCTGGATGGATGATCACTTTATTTGAAATAGAGCCTCTTTAGTTACAAATGCGGCACTCGTTGAATTAAATGTCATCTTAATAGTTAGTTAACAAAAATGAAATGTGACATAACTCGTGTACTCGTGGAACATGGTACTTAAAGACGTCGACATCACGAATTTTGTTCACGTCCAAACTAATGCGATTTCTCGTTTGCCGTTGTTCTGTGGACGGTCCGCCCCTCAGAGATCAAGCTACTTATACTGCTCATATCTAGATCAGTTGAAACTGTAACACATTCGTCTTTAATAATGTTAATACCTGATTACTAACATCGTGTTGTGGTAACATTGTCCAAGGTCATTGTACACTGGATTGTACCATTGGAGCTACAAGCTCTTGAAAATAACGCGATGCAGCATAACTTGTTAATATTAACACATGATATCTGGGGCAGCACAGGTGGCGAATTACAGATTGGGTTCCTATAAGTCACAATATAGAAGCTTGAAAGGATGTAATTGATTTTTCAAATTCGTAGTCACACGTACACACGACTGAAAGCAATCAAACTCATAATAATATGGAGGGGCAATTCATGTGTGCTCTTTCAAGTAATTAATTTATTTTGAGCAATGTAGCAACATTTATTTTTAATGTCTTCAAATTATTTTAGCCTAGTTCTTTTTATTGGTTAGTTTTTTTGGGCTTCATTCAAGCACTTACGAGTCTTCCAAATACAAAATCTCCATTTATCCTGAATAATGTGGAAATCCTTTGCAGCCCCTATCTCAGACTATATCCTGACAACTAATGACTAATACTGAATGTGCTATACATTTGAATGTCATGATGCTTGCAAAAATAATCCTTGTTTAAATATAGAAAACATATTCTCTGGATTGTGGACTATTTAATGGTTAATTTCATTCATGAGCTTTATATAGGTCAACAGTAAGACATAGCTTTTGAGAATATCTTATTGATATTCAGAACAGCACACATTTACTTTATTACTGGTCAGTGCTGTTCATTTAAATTTAAGTATTTATTTTGCACTTGCTACAAAATTATAACAAAATATTTTGTGCAATGAAAATTAAATCTTTATGAATGATATTTAATATTTCATATGATAAAGAAGAAAAGAAGAATAGTCATAATTTTTTTACTCTAATATTAATGTAACATTGCAATTTTTCTTCAAACCTGGATAATCAAAAATGCAAGTTTTTTTAATCCGAGTGTTGCCATGGCATACTGTGTATGCCTGATTCAGAATGCTTGATATACTTAATAAATCTGAAAATTCAAATTTCTGTTTTTCTCACTAACATAAACAACTCATTGAACCAGAAGATAGTTTAAATTAAACTATTACCTTGACTTTTATTCAACATCTTATTCCATACATGTAAATTTATGGAAAGACTTCACAGAGATAAATGTCACCTTCTTAAATTATCATGATGCTGTACCCCACTACATGTTATTTTTTGTCTACAGATGATGTCTGTGTTTGCAGACAACTCCAGTTTTTAGACATAAGATTGGAGCTTTCTCATCAGTCCCCATTGGACATAGTCTGGAACAGGGATTTATGTTTTTGGGTTTGTTCATGCATTCTGGTGTACATGTATATGTACTCATCAAATTGTTTTTTTTTAGCTAAGTTGACTTTTGATGGAATTAAACAAAAATAATATTTTAACATCATTTCTTAGTCTTGCCGTCACTCATGGTGGGTTTCTGATGCACATCAGTTTGTTTCGTGATTTGATTTAAGTGGTTGATAGTGGCCATTTGATTTCTTCTCATGTGTTCTACCACATTTCTGAGATACATTTACACTTTAGCCCACTGATTTTTAGCCCCCGTTCGGGCTTATGTTTTGACCTCCGTGCGTCCGTGCATGCGTGCGTCTGGATCTGTATCTTAGAAATGCCTGGACCAATCACAATCAAACTTCACATATACATCATACATGATATTATACATTATATGCACGTCAATTTGTTTCACGATCTGATTCAAGATGGGTGAATGGCGGCTATTTTTGTGCTAAAAATCATCAAAATCAAACATTTAAACGTTAAACAATCATCATAATCATATTCCTGACATCTTTATATTCCAGCTATATTACTATAAACAAAACTATATATTTTAAATTTGATAACTAACTTGTCACAAATACAAGTTGTTTTTTCTGACAATGAGTCATGATGAGAACATGTAATTCTGCTACTGTGGGAGCTAATTGATCTACATGGAAAATTGGCACACAGATCGAACCGCGACAGGGAATATAACGGCAAATGAAAACATGCAACAGAAATAAATGAACAATATTAGAAGTAAAGCAAAAAATAATTTATTGCCTTTATGTGACAAATAAACCAGAAAAAATAAAAATCGACAGTGAGGAATCATTTGAATTAGGAATTCTCCGCCGACAAACACTCAAAATGAACTAATATAAGTCAAATTATTTCTGGTCTCGACAAATTAACGATCAACTGTCATACAAGATCAATAATAATTTACAAAGTTACACAGTAAAAATTACTAAAGTTCATAGCTCTTTTGAAAAAACTTCGTAGATGACGTCCAATCAATTTGGACTTACCACTTTTAATCCACTGATTTCGCAGTCTGCCAACTTGGAATTTTCAATTAATGTCTAATCACAATAAAGAGACAAGAAAAATGGGATCACAGCAAACGACTCTTTTATTTACAGTCTGTCAATAATCTTTGACCTTTGAGCATCTGCTTTACTGATTGGCTGAGAATGACATCAATACTAGTGTTTCATCATAGAGGTCAAATCAACATCAGGGTGAAAGTTTTCATCCAGCTAGTTCCAGCGGTTGGAATGTCGCACTATATGGATATCACGGTGGGAATGGGAAGTTTTTTTTATCCAAAGACAGAAGAATAGTTTTCATGATAGAAATGCAATAACAGTGATGAAAGATGATAAAAGAGTTGGCAGTCTTCAGCGTGACATTGCAGAATTGCTGGCCCTAGTTTGGATTCGCAAGCCGCTACCAAATAACGTGATTTCAACCACTCTCCCAGATACAGGGCTGCTACAATATTGGTTTCATTGTCAATGACGCTAAGGCCGACTGAGTTTGACACTTGCTTCGTGGCTCTGCTTATACTGTAAAAGTTGCCAGCCATTTTTAAGGCCATTACATATTTCAAAAAGAGACTTGCTGACAGTCATGATTCTGATAAAAAATCTTGAAAATAAATATAAATCAGCGGTGCTGTCACAGCTATTTCATGTTCACTCCTTGTTTTATGCAATTAACAATTATTTTTAAAGAATGTTTATAAACATCTCAACAGACTGCAAGAAAGTCAACTGTTAATAAAACCAAAGTCAACAAATAGAAAATAGGTTTTTGCTATTTTTTGTGTAGAAAAAGGCCCCCTCAATTTCTTTATTGTACCAAAAACTTCTAACCCCCCCCCCCCCCAGATAAATACAGTAAACATAATTGTAATATCACTACATGTAGGTTAGAAGTAAACACTATCTAAATAAATAAAATAGATGGACTTTGGTATTAGTTGTGCCTAGATTTGATTTTATTGTCATTGTCCCTTGTGGGATTTTTTGTTGTTGCTTTTTTAGCTCCGCTTTCAACTTTGTCGAGCTGAGCTTATCATATGAGTGATTGTCCGTTGGCGTTGTCCGTTCGGCGTCTGTGTCGTTCGCATCAACTACAAGTCTGAATGCTTTGATACTTGGTGTATATGTACCTTGGGTAGACCGCTCTCAGATTTGTTCATTTCATGATCATATCTTCAATTCTCTAATTTTGGTGAATATTTTTGTAATTTTTGGTAAAAAGTAATATTTTTGACTTCTTGTTAAAAACCGCAAGTCCAATTGCTTTGATACTACATATATAGGTACTACATGTGGACCACTCTTGGATTTGTTTATTTCGTGATGATATCTTCAATTCTCTGATTTTAGTGAATGTTATCATGTTCACACAATCGCAGACATTATTTGTTAGGGTGCTCTATGAAATGGCACATTTTCTGGATGTTTTAGTGAGTACTCCGCGAGGTATATTGCTTGCTCTCACATTAGCATAATTGTCCTTGAGTTCACTCATCGCTTTTCCACATGCATTTCTCGTTCTTTGCTGCTAAATTTGTTTGCACTCTAATATGTTGTTGTTTTTGTCTTTCTAAACATCTAGTTTTTTTTCTAATTTATCCACTTTTACAGTGATAAATATTGCGTTCGAGTTGAGCTACTCGTGATTACAAGCCTGATTTACATTTTTCTTGCGGTGTTTTTTGTCAATGTATTAAATATAAGTCATTAAGTGCTTTGGGAAATAGCATAATTATATTGCGTGTGTGAAAGTGTCTGGTTAGACAATCACAACACGTTTTATTTTGTATTTTTATTTTCAAAATGTATCACTGGCTGCGTTTGTTTTGTTTTATGTTTTCCTCAATAATTAACTGCCAATCCAATAATTCGTCGCCGCATGTACTCAGACAAGGGATTAATCGTCACAGTCATTATACTAGTAGTTTAAGTCCAATTGATTTGTAGAAATTCAGCTATGCGATGATTATATGTGCAGTTTTGTTTTGCGCACCCAGACACGAGCAAAAGTTAACCTGATAGATTTTCTGAACTACAGCATTCGTATTACTTATGCAAATTGAGTAAGGGTATGTTGCGTTCGCAAATAACAAAGTGTCAAATTATTTTGAGCGCCGTTCGGAATAAATTTAGTCAAAATCACAAAAACACAAATACTAGTAATCAATAGATATCATGATTG